AGTTTTGGACCATTCGGTTGTCAGCCCAAGTAAGCTAGCTCCTCTCACTGTTGGGTTGGCTCCTATAGATATTTGTAACCCAAACTTACCTTCTGCTCCGATCTTCCAAAGTGATGGGGTTTTGGGTCATCTTCATCCCCAGCAAATTGGGGGTAGCTCACCCCCAAATAGTTTCACTTCTTTAAACTTTCAGAGGAAAGCAACTAGCAAAAAGCATCAGCAGATGAAAAGCTTACATTTTGGATCTTCTAGATTTGGGAAATCAACTCTGAACCTGCGTAAGGGAGCTATCTTCAGATCAGCAGCAGTTACCATTTCACTATCCATGGCAAGTAAATCCAATAGAGGGAGGGTTGATCTGTCTGAGGTGGAAGCAACTTTGGAATTGGGTAAAACTCTCGGCATTGATTTTGAAGGCAAGGATGAGGAGGTTATTAGCAAACTGCTGCAGCTAGAAGTCAATGATTTGGAGAAAGTTAGAACACAGGGTGGGGATGCCAACTAGGCTAATACTGTCAGGGGACCAAAAGTGTAAAATTTGTTTTCATGAGGATTCAATCATGGAGTATAAGAGGGATCGGCAGTCCAGAGAAAAGAAGGTAGATCAAGAAAGTACTCTGGAAATAATAGAGGATGGTTGCTGTGATGCTGGTGTACTGGTTGTCCGGGGCTTGCAAGTTTGAATGGGTTGTATTGCTGGTTTTTGTGTGTGTTTTTGGTTGTGTGTGCTGTTAGGCTGTTTGTAGGTGTCCTTGTGGTGAAGTTGTTTGGCGGTGTGTGCTGTTTTTTAGTCATCTTCTAGCTGGTTTTTGTTGTGTTTTTGCTGTTAGTGGGATAGTCCTCTGCTAGTGGTTATGCTGTGGTCGTGGTTAGATTTGTCTGGTCTGTCTCATGCTTCAGAAATGGGAAGGCTGGCTATCTGTTTTCATCAGTATGGGAGGGTCGTTTGGTCTGTTTCAACAGATTGGTCTGTTTTCATCAGAATGGGAAGGATGTTGGTCTGTTTCTGCCTTCATCAGTAGTGTAGGCTATGATGATTAGTGTTTTGATTTTTTTTTTTTTTTTTCTGGTGTAAAGATTTCATTTCAAAGAATCTAAACCCACTTTACTCCACCTCAATTGAGAATTGATACCCACTTTAATATTGTATTAAAGTCATCAAAAATCATTATTTTTCCAACAAAATCTTCATCTCAATATATAAACCCATATCCCATCATTATGATTAAAATACGAAGAGTTTTGGTAATTTATTATTTTGCATCATGAAGTAATACTGGCGCTCAATGGAGTAGTTTTCTTTCTTTGGTTTGAGCTGCATTTGTCCCTCACCATATGATAGGATACATATATATAGAGACTCAAAAGTAAAGTTGCTATTTTATTAGAATTTTTATACAAAATATTATATCAGAATGTTGTGACAGTATTATTTATATAATTAAAAATATTTCAATATGCTTTTCATTTTAAAGTGAAAGACTCAAAATTCAACTAAATTATTATATATGTATGAATTTCCTATTCATACATCTCAACACAAAAGTAGAAAGGGATGAAAATTTTGGATGAACTTTTCTTAAGAATAACCCTTGTGGTCCTCTAACTTTGTCTTAGAGAATTTCCTCAGGTAAAGGTACCCTCACTTTTGGAGGTCATAATAATATATGCAATATATATATATGGGTAATGATACCGACCTCTAAAAGTAGAGTTTTCTAATTTAAGTTTTATTGAGTTGGCAAAGAAAAAAAAAAACAAAAAACATAGACACATATATCACATTAAAAGTGAGACCCATTATATTAGAACTCTTCTAAAACTCTCTTTTTATAACTCTAAATCATTTTTTTGTATATATATTGTTCACTTGGCCCTACATCTCATGACATCCAAATAATCAAATCTCCTGGGGACAGATGCATGCAGATTTCAGTACAAGGTATGTATGTATATATATAAGAAGTACATATGTATGTATACATGGGCTTTCTTGTCTTGATAACAAAGTAGGATGTTGCTTGATAGTATTGTAGTGGCTCATAAGCATAAAGACAAAATGTTTTCAAGACAGCTGTATGTACAAATGTCTAGAGAGGGCGCTTTTGATACATTTGAGTAGCTTAGAGACTTTTCTTCTCACTTTTTCTGTGTTCCAAAAATTGGCCGTCCCCATCACCAGGACGAGGATATCAACATTTTAAGTAACTAAATTGCCCTCAGTACTTTCTCAGATTGTCTACACAGACATGCCTTGTTTGTTTGGTGATATGTTTTTGAGAGATTAAGGAGAGGTTGAACTAATAATTTATCTGAATATGATATCTGCTATACGATTGACTATTAAATTTCATGGTGGGATGAGATACAAAATGAGAGATTAAGGAGAGGTTGAACTAGTAGATGATTGAGCTTGTTTTTCGGTGCGAACATGAGATTGATTTGCTTTGTTATGATGCTTTGTGCAGTCACTTTTCGTTTTTGATGTTTGCATCAGCAACCTTTAGACATTGATCTTCATTAATAAGTCTTATTTTGCTGATTAAGAAAAAAAAGAGAGAGATGAGAGGTTTGGACTAGTTGACTATACAAAATTGATAAGATTTTGTTATTCTCCCCTCATATTCGTAAATAATTCCAAATATGAGATATGATACACATTTTAAAAGAATCAGTTTTAATAATGTTAATCCCGTCTAATCTTGTCCGTCCAAGCAACATGACCCAAAGGCACATGAATAATGATGCTAGGACATGCTCTAATGAATTTTTCTATGACTCAGTTTTTGGTTAAATAGAATGAAATGATTATTTTATGACATCTATTCTTAAGACATATCTATTCTCATATTTGGGTCGGTAAAAAGTAGAAGAATATAAATTTCAAAGTAAATAATCATTCACCATTTTTTTTTTTTTTTAAAAAAAGAAGCTTTCCATTAAATCCATTCCTGTTCAAAATCATCCGATATTTTTTCTTGTTATCATTTAATGTTGCGCTTAAATTGTAAACTAATAATATAGAGGTTATATAGAATGCTTCAAGTTCAATGTTTGGATCTCTTTCTTCTTCTACAAGGATTAAAGGTAGTTGGTGACTATTAAATATGGTCATTGTCAAAATAATTTAGTATAACCTACATTTTTGAATAATTTTGACAAGCTGTTTTATTTTTTTTTTAAATTTATATATATATGTTTGCCGGCAGGTGATTTGCTTGAGAAGTGAGTAATACATATACAGAGAGAGAGAGAGAGAGAGAGAGAGAGAGATGAAAACGAGAGACATGCTTAGAATGTTATTCTCGTTTGTTCCATGCAAAGCGTATATAAAATCTATGCATACCAAATTCTGTAATTAAAAGGAGGTGCACCAAATGTACTTCTCAACCCTCTCCCTCTCTCTCCATAATTCATTCTTCAATTACAGGCGTGGGTGTGCTGAGAGAGAAAATAAAAGAACCAGAAATTATGCTATCAACACATGAATTAAATTAAAAATAAGCATAAAATTCACGTAAATGAATAAAATTTATAAGTTTTACTAATAAATGAACAGGATTTTACAAAATTTATTAATGAGATAAATTTTGTCAATTTGGTACATTTTGTATTGCTAAGCTTAGTCGTTGGAGGAATTAACCATGTTTCATAAAAAATAAAAAATAAAAGTCAAAGTGTAACGATACTATCACGTCATCAGTATCATCATGCAATAACTTATTGCCATTTTACCCTATTATGTATATGTGAGAATGTAATTATTAATTGAAAATGGGTCACTAAGCCATATATAAATTTATTTCTGGTCAGTAATACACGTCATCAATATTATTGTGATATTGAATTTTACTCTTGTTTCAGGAACGTCATTTGATCATGCCCATTCAATGAATGATGGGCATTATTCATGTAAAAAGATATTACATGTCATCTTCATTTCATTTATAATTACAATATTCTTCATTATTATTTATAATTGATATTGTCATATAATTCTTGTTGAGTTATTTTTTTTTATTTTATTTTTTTTATAGAAAAATTTTGTTTCTAAATTATTTTCATTTAATGATACGATTTTCAATAAAATAACAACAAAGTATCATATATTATAAAAAAATCATAAATCAATGGAGCGATTATAAAATAGTTACATTAGAGATGTAATCTTTCTTTTTATGTAACTATAACAAAAAAATAAATAAATAAAAATAAAATAAAAGACTTGCAGAACACATAAATAAACTAACACCATAGGAGATTTGTATCACCATAAAAAATGGAATATTCACTATTCTGGTGAAAAGCAATTTCTCTTATGTTATTTGAGGATGATGTGAAGTGGAAGCAAAATATGCTCTATTCTCATAACACATCTATGATTTGTGAGTGAAGATAACAAAAATCATCGAAAAAGACAAGATGGAGTCAAGGACAAGAAGACCAATCCTCTCTCTCTCTCTCTCTCTCTCTCTCTCATAAATCAATGGAACGATTATAAAATAGTTACATTAGAGATGAAATCTCTCTTTTTATGTAACTATAACAAAAATAAAAATAAAAAAAAATAAAAGACTTGCAGAACACATAAATAAACTAACACCATAGGAGATTTGTATCACCATAAAAATGGAATATTCACTATTCTGGTGAAAAGCAATTTCTCTTATGTTATTTGAGGATGATGTGAAGTGGAAGCAAAATATGCTCTATTCTCATAACACATCTATGATTTGTGAGTGAAGATAACAAAAATCATCGAAAAAGACAAGATGGAGTCAAGGACAAGAAGACCAATCCTCTCTCTCTCTCTCTCTCTCCAATCCGTTTTCCACTCCACCCATCAACCAACTAGGACCCCCCTCTATCTCTCTGTCCATATTGATAATCTAAGAAAGAAAACCCCACAACCAATCACCATCATCATCACCATTTCCACTTCACGAAGCCTTCTCCCTTCTCTCTCTCTCTCTCTCTCTCTCATATTGTATGCAACTATATAGCTCCCTCTTATCTCTATCAAACTAGTTAGAAGAACAAAGCTATCTAGCTCTCCATTTGGATATCATAAAATTGAAAAATTAACGTAAAATGAGGAAGCCAGAGGCAATGGGGAAACCAGAGAAAGTGAGCAAGAGCAAAGTGAGGAAAGGGTTATGGTCGCCAGAGGAAGATGAGAAGCTAATGAAGTACATGATGAGAAATGGACAAGGTTGTTGGAGTGATATTGCTCGGAATGCCGGTCTCCAGAGGTGTGGGAAGAGCTGCCGCCTTCGTTGGATTAATTACTTGAGGCCTGATCTCAAGCGCGGTGCTTTTTCACCTCAGGAGGAAGATCTCATCATCCATTTGCATTCCATCCTTGGCAACAGGTTCTCTCTCTCTCTCCCCCTGTGTATGGACACAAACTCTAGTTTTAGCTTTGGTTCTTTCTATGGTGTATGTGTTTGGGAAAACAAAAATAAAATGCTAAACTGAATATATGCTTTAGATTTAAACTTGGTGTGGTATGGTATGAGCTATAATAAATCTGATCTATATATTTCAAAAATCTGAGCACTTTTTTGATATTTTTTCTAAGTACATAAGTTTCAATTGTTGTTGTAAAAATGCTATATATTCCGGAAAGATTAATATGGGAAATTGGAAATTGAGCAAGAAGAGCATTCCTCCTGAGAAAATGCGAATGCTCTAATCTTCCCCATATTACATTCAAAAGTTATCTGGTGGTCATATGCTTCTTTAATTATCTACCATGAACAAGGATTTTTAGTGCATATGGTGAATACCACTTCAATGTAAAATAAAAAAGAGCTAAGTTTTACATTTATCTGAATCATCAATCAAAAAGGGGCTAGTTTTTAGGAGTTTTATTTTGAAAAATATTTGGGAACTCTAAATTGGGAGCACTAAAGGAGCTCTTGAGAGTGGGTCCCACTGACTGATGTGATATTTTGGTCTTAAGTTTTTTTTTTTTTCTTTTTTTTTTTAAAAAATTTTCACCTCATTAGTTTTTTTTTTTTTTAATTTCCACCTCATTAGTGGTCCATTAGTGCTACCAAATTAGTGGGATGTATCATTGTTGTTTTATTTTATTTATATCATCTCTTTCCAGTTTCCCCTCTGTGTGCCACCCGGGAGCGGGGATTGAGATTGATATGGTTTTGACTCCTCCAAAATATACAGAATTCATAAATGTTTGGTTTGAATATTCATGCATGCATGGTACAGTCTTTAAAAACCTTGAGGAAAACCAACCAAAAAAAAAAAAAAAGACAATGCTGACTCTTCCAGCATTTTCAAGGACACTTTTATCGAAATGTTGGCAATATTAACTTTATTTTATTTGTTTCAAAATCATTCTTATCTGTATGTTGTGTCAATCCATATTTTTCAATTTCTACACAATGTTCTGATATATGAAATAAGTGCCCTTGATGTAACTTTTTGTTGTTGTTATTGTTATTATTGATTTTGTTGTTGTTGTAGTATAATTTAAGCTTTCATGCAAAGCCATGCATTCAGATTTTGTGTTGATTATATTTCTTATTTTATAAGCATTTGAAATGCATTTAGAGTCTTGTATATTTTCTAAGATTTAAATTACGACAGGTGGTCTCAAATTGCAGCACGTCTTCCAGGAAGGACAGACAATGAAATCAAGAATTTTTGGAATTCAACAATAAAAAAGAGGTTGAAAAACAACAATTTCACCTCCACTTCCACATCCTCACCAAACAACAGCAATTCATCAGAAGAGCCTAGCAGACATGTAATAGGAGGCACCACCATGTCCATGCAAGAACAAGGCAACATCATGAATATGTGCATGGACACATTTTCCTCTTCATGGTCTATGCATGGAATGCCCACACCCAACTCCTTCAACCCTTTCCCTCTGCCTCTCGACAACGCCTACGATGCTAGAGTCACTGCTGGATTATTCAGCATACCGACATGGTTGGGACATGTAGGTATGGGAGATGGATGTTGTGAGGATTATGGGATTGGAGAAGAAAGATTGAGTGTGATGGCGGAGTTAGAAGGTGACCTTTCAATTCCTTCATTAGAAAGTAGGGGTATTGTTGAGAATAATGGTGGTGGTGCTGACTATAATTTGGATAAGAAAATCAGTAACAACAACCACTTGAATAATAATAATAATAATAGTGATGAGGCCATCATCAAAGCGGAGGACGTGTTTGGGTTTGGAAATCATTGGCAAGGGGAAAACTTAAAAATGGGAGAATGGGATTTGGATGGTTTGTTGGAAAACGTCTCATCCTTTCCTTATCTTGATTTCCAAGTTGAATAACTGGCTACTACCTAGCCCTCTCTCTCTCTCTCTCTCCCTCTCCCTCTCTCATTGAGCCTTCCAAATCCATCTCTTTTGGAAATTTTGAAGAATAAGTTCTTACAAGTCACGTAAGACTACATGCATGTTTCTCCAGATCTCGCTTTAGCAAGAGTCTCTTATATTGAATTGTTATTCTCATCAAACAACGTCAATTGTTTGACGTGAATTTTTCTAAAAGATATTTTTTGAATATTTTTCAAGTCGAATTATTTTAACAAAAAGTACAATAATTTTTTTTACAAAAATAGATATATGGGTAGAAGAGGTGAGGGGAGGGTTTAATTTTTTATTTTTTATTTTTAAATTTTGGGCAGGAAACTAGGGTTAGTGCAACAGCAATCCTTTTCATGTGAATAGTGGAGAATTGTAATACGAAAACTGAGAAGAAATAAGGGGGCAGTTGGTGAATTGTATTAATTTGTATGTACACATCAATAAGATTAATGTGAAAGGGGAAGTTGTTACTAGTGGATTGGAGGATTATAAGTAGACCAATCAATTAATTAATATGCACTTCTCAATAAAAATCACAAAGTTCTCTCTCTTTCTTTCTGTATGTGTTTGTATTAATAATTTTAGTTTTTATAGTTTTAATTTAAATTTTATATTTTCACTTTTATTATGAATTCTTTCGTTACTTACTGTTAGAATTTTAAACGAAAAAATATCACATACAAAACTAAATAAATCAAAGTAAAATTTAAAAGAAACTCTAGGGACCACAAGTGTAATAAATAAATTACATTGATGGTCCTTATAATTTTTCTTGAATTCCACTTTTTTTTTTTATCGGAAAAATAAATCTTTATTGATGAAATCAAACAAAAAAGATGGAGAACATCAATAAAGAGGAGCTCAAACCTAGATGAAGCTCAAAGCTCTGGTTAGTGAGAAACCAACAAGAGGCAAAAAGATCAAAAAACAGCAGCAAAAACAACCAAAACAGAACACTCCTCTAAAAACGCACTCAGCTGTAAACTCCAAAAGCAAAACTGCAAGTCTGACACAGACCAAGATCATAGAATTCACCAAGAAAAAGGCAGCATAACAGAAATCAACTCAGAATTGCAGAGCTTCACCCAGCAAATCAACAAATCAAAGAACAAGGCAGCATGAAATGCATTCAACAGATCAGTCAGGCAAATAGGAAGCAGCAGATCAGTCACCCTCCTGAGAATATCAGTATAACATGAGCTGTACTGCAGCCCTGCACCCACACAGATCAAACCCAGTCCTTCGATATCAGCAGTGATCTGTAACAGATTGAAACAAAAACCTACATCCAAGCAGCCAGCCACCACCTCAATCAGGCTTTGATCCTATCAAGATTATAGACAATGTCCTCCACAGAATACTGCAAACCTCCATAACTATGCTTACACCAAACATCTATCCTCACTTTCACCAACTCAGCCAAATCAAGCCCATCAACACTCTTTTCATGAAAAAGGCATCCATTCCTAGCTTTTCAAATTGACCACATAATAGCTACGGGAACAACTTTCCACATTGGTTGGATCACCTTTTTGAATTTAAAACCAGCACACCAATGCAGCAATGCCTCAATTGAACCCGGAACCACCCAAACCAGATCCCACTATTTCACCATATCTGACCACAATTTCCCTACCACTAGACAAGACAGAAGCAAATGATTAATTGACTCATTCTCTGTTCTACACAGCAAACACACTGAATTAGCTTCCAAATTCAATACACCAATCCTTTTCAAAAACAATGAAGTTTTAAGTCTTCCTTTCCAAACTAACTAGATACAAAATCTCACCTTGGATGGAGTAATATTCTTCCACAGCATATCAGCAACACCTACGACAGGACCTTTTGACAACATCCACCACTTCTATGTGAAACCCACAAAGTAAGAACTTGAAAGGTTGGCCAGCCATAAACAAGAGTCCTCTACTTGAACTGTTAGAACAAGTGCGCCCCTAAGTACTCCTTGCAGCCTTACAACCTCCTCCTCCTCCCAAGCTAACAAAGATCTTCTAAACAGAAATTTCCACTCATGTGCTGACCCTCTACTATGATTCAACTGCATAATTTGTACAACCCTTCTCCTCAGACAGCCTGTATAGCCTGGGTGTAGATACCCCATTTTTGACCGACCTTAAGGCTCAGACGTCACTGATTAAGCGCTCGGTGATATTGCATATTGTACTCGTTCAGAAGTTTCAGAGTCCCGGCTGCAAGCCTTGCCTCCGGACTTCCGGACTCTTTCATACCTTGCCTCGATTTGCGAACCAGGCTCTGTTTTCTCTTCCCGAAAGGAGAGAGAGGTCTCATAGATCATCTCTCAGTGGCCGTAGGCTACGTTTCGTGATCGTAGGCCATTTTTCCCATTTGGAGCCCGGTTTCTTATTTTTCGGAGCCGACGGCCGTGTGCCTCGTTCCGGGACCGCCTAACCACCTCCGTTTGCTCCGATTTTTGACACACACCTTATTTACTCCCTTTTGGGGGACACTGTGGACCGAGAGACCAACTTCGTGGTCGAATGCCACTTCCGGTGCTTAACAGCCCATTTTCAGAGCCCCAGGCTGCGTGTTTCGGCCCCCCAACCTTCGTTTTGCATCGGTTTGAGTTCATTTTTGGTGGAGACCTTATTTTCATAGTTAGGAAGCTCGTAGGAGGGTGGGAGGCCAGCAATTGTTCTGAAAAGCCAGCTTTTGTTCTGAAAAGCCAGCTTTATTTCTTCATCGCTCTCTGACGCCCGTTTTCCTCACTTGAAAGCCAATGTTGACCACCCCGGGGCCACTTTATTGAACCCTAAACCCCATATTTATGTTGTACACACCTGGGAGGCCACCAATATTTGGTGGCCAACCAATAATTGTGCCTGAACCTTTTGAACCCCTCTAAAAAATGGTCTTTTCTCTCTCCCGGTTCACTTTTTCTGGCAATATTTGGTGGCCGACCAGTAATTGTGCCTGACCTTTTGAACTCCTCTAAAAAATGGTCTTTTCTCTCTCCTGGTTCACTTTTTCTGGATTTCAACCACATAGTTGTGTTGTGCAGACATGGGAGGCCACCTTTTTGAGGTGGCCGACCAGTAATTGTGCTTGACCTTTTTGACCCTTGGTCGGCCGGCCATGGGAGGTGGCCGGTCGGCCCCCTGAACCTTCTGAACCTGGCCGGCCGTGACCCCCTCACCTGGTTCCTTACAGATATGCCCTATTTTTCTTCCCAGATCCTGTATCCGAGGGGGGCTGTTTTGGGAGGGGAAACTTGAATTTGATTTTCCCCCCCCCCCTTTTCTCCACTCCTCTCCTCTATATAACCAGCCCCTCAGCTACATTTTCAAGGGTTAGAAAAATCCATTGGAGCTCTTGCATTGAAGCCTCCCTCTCTCTACTCCAAGCCTCAAAATACCCTTGATCCTACACCATTTCTATACCAACTCATAGCCTATCAACCCACACTCCACTTCCAGCAACTTGAGGCTGTTTTTCAAAGTTTAGGAGCACCTTTCCTTGGTCCAAAGGCTGCTGAAGTTTGGTTCTACAAGGGTGAGTCATTTTCTTCCATTTTTTAGTCTTTTCTTGCTTCATCTATAAGCCTTAGTTTCTTGCATTTTTGGGCTCCGACCCTAACTGTAAATAGTTATATTTTGAGCCCCTTTTCATGTTTGATTAAGGGTCTTTCTCTGTTTGAGGCCTCCTTCTATCACTTTCTTCTTTATCTCTCTTTTAGGCCTTATTTTTGCATAGTATTTTAGGCCTATTTTTGAGTTGTTTTGGACTTTTCCATAAACTGTAAAATAACTTTTTTTGAGCCCCTATTGAACATTGTTGAAGGGCTTTCCTCTGTTTGAGGCCTCCTTCTATCACTTGCTTCTTTATCTCTCTTTTAGGCCAATATTTGCATAGTATTTTAGGCCTATTTGTGAGCTGTTTTGGACCTTGTCATAAACTGTGAAATATCTTATTTTGAGCCCCTCTTCAACATTTTTGAAGGGCTCTCCTCTGTTTGAGAACAGCAGCTGCCACTTGTCTCTTTACCCCTCTTTTAGGCCTTTTCTTGCATGATAGTTTAGCCTTATTTGTGATTATTTTCGTGGCTTGATGTAAACTGTAAAGTGCCTTGTTTTGAGCCCCTATTCAACTTTGTTGAAGGGCTCTTTACCATTTGAGGCCAGATGCTGTCCCTTTGTGTTTAATATCTCTTTTAGGGCCATTTTTGCATGATAGATTAGCCCTATTTGTGTTCATTTTTGAGGCTTGTTATAAACTGGAAATATGAATGTTTTGGGACTGTATTGTATCTATCTTCATGCTTCATGATCAAATAATGCATGCTTTGTATAGCTGTAAGTCATTCCATGCGCCTAGTTTCGAATTTCGGGGTTCATTCTATGCATCGGGTGCCATGTTTCCATGTTTCGGGGCTATTTTGTAGCATATTTCAGCACTGAAATTCGCATGTTTGCATATCATGTTCCATGCCTTGCCATGCTTTGTGTAGAGTGGCATTTGTGCCTTAGACTCGTCATCGGTTTGCGTGCATGCATGCACGTATTTCAAGAGTTTCATTTTTCATCTAATTGCCACTAATGTGAGTGTGGCTGAGGTCTACTCATGTTGGTGTAAGTCCATTGCTCATTGTGTATGTCATTTCATTTCATAGCATTGTGTATGCTAGGTTATATGTTAGCGCATTGTGTATGCCATGTTACCTCGTGCATCGTGTATGCCATTTCATAGCATTGTGCATGCTAGGTTATATACTAGTTGCGTTCATGCATGTCATGCATATTGCATTGTGTTTGGGATAAGAGTTAGCCCGAGCACGAGAAACGAGGGACGTTTCGTACTTCGAGTGACGGAACGTGTCTCAATTCCCGGTCACCGACATTCCGGATTATCCATGATGGAGTTTAGGTCTTGTTGTGTTTATATGTGCATTCATTTCATATTGAGTCATGCAATTCGACTCCTCGGCCATCATGTATCGATATGCGTGATTGGTGGCATGAGGATCGAGGACTACACTCCTCGAAGAGTAGTCATGCATACATATGTGAAAATACTTTGCCATGCCCCTTTGTTGCTCTCTGTTGTAGCAAATCAAAAATCAGCAGTCTTCCGGAGCTTGGCACGCATTCCAAGAATAATTGCAAACAGAGGCAAACCGGGGTAGCGCGAGGGATTCTCCGCACAAGGCAACCCGAGCATGCATCATTCATCATCCGGAGCAGATTTGAGGCAGTCCCTGGCTTGCATGCCAATTTATTGCTTTCCTAATTTAATTTATTAATTAATTAGGATTTTGTACATATTTGGACTGTAATTATTCATTTGGGACTGTATATTATTTATTCGGACCCTCTGCGCGAGGGCAATGTTGTAATAAGTGTGCGTGTGTGTGATGTATGTCTTCCAACCCCACGTCTTTCTCCCTTTTATTTACCCGCTTATGATGGTTAGATTAGGGCATGTTTCAATTAGCATA